ATAGGAATGCATTGAAAATCAATTAATGCGTTCCTATGGAAACCGCCTTCAGACCAGGTCCGGGGACAGTCTGTCCCCTGACCTCTTCTGAAGGCTGGGGGGGGGGGACAAGGGCTTTTCTTCCCACCCCCAGCATTTAAAAAAACCCCGGGACAGCGGAGGACTTCTCCGCTGTCCGGGGCGATCTTAAAATGCTGGCGGGCGGCATTTTAAAATCGCCCGGGACAGCGGAGGACTTCTCCACTGTCTGGGGCGATTGAAAAGCCCCTGGGAAGGCAGGCGGGGGGACAAAGACTTTTGCCCCCCGCCCGCCTTCAGAAGAGGTCCTGGACGGGGGGCAAAAGTCTTTGCTCCCCCGCCTGCCTTCAAAAGCCCTCCGGGACAGCGGAGAAACGCGCCGCCCGGGGCGATTTTAAACCCGCTGTCCCGGGTTTTTTTTAATGCTGCCGGGCGTCAGCGCTGTGACCCGGCAGCATTTTAAAATCGCCCCGGACAGCGGAGAAGTCCCCCGCTGTCCCGGGGTTTTTAAAAAACCTCTCTGCCCCCCCGCCAGGCTTCGGAGCAGCCTTCCGAAGCCTGGCGGCGGGAGGAGGTCCGAGGACAGTGGGGAAGAGGCGCTGCGCTTCCCCGCTGTCCCGGAGATTTCCCTATGGGCTTTCGTCTTGCGAAGGAAGCCCATAGGGAAATTCGTTTTGCGAAGCGCCTCCGCGACGGAAAACCCTTTCGTCTAGCGGGTTTCTGTCTTGCGAGGCGTTCGTCTTGTGGGGCACCACTGTACATAGAAATGAGCAAACCAGTGATATTTTAGGGAGCAGGTTAGCAGGCGGGGCCCATGACTTACACCACAGGAGCCTACACAACACAAAACACTGTTGCTGTATGTAGGTTTTATTTTGTTTTTTTATATCTTATAATTTGGAAATGTACATCCAGGTGTTTTTTTCCTTTAAATTCCCCCCCCCCCCCGAGAGTGGGGCCCTAAGTTATAGCTTGTTTAGCTTATACGTACATCTGGCACTGCTAGCACCCACTATAATTCACCAGAACAATGGAAATTCTTAATGGCTCCAGTTGTACTGGGTTACATTTCTGCAAGCTGGCAACCCCAAACCACCCAGCACCTAGGAATTATCACCCCCTTTCTAAATAACTTTGCCAGCCGAGTCTCAAATCCTGGAGAAGCCCTACCAGTCAGTGAGAGCAACACCAACCTAAATGGGCCAGGGATCTGACTCTCTGTAGGCCAGCTTCCTGTGCCTATTGACAAAGGCATTGGTGTCTGTGTGAGATAAGCCCAGGAGATCATTAACCTGTGTGTTTACTGAGGGCTTATCCACACTTAACCTTTCCTACACTCCTCCCAGGCACCAGCTCATGCCCTTCAACATCTCTCCAGTGAAAACAGAGACGTTCTACTCCATCCCCTCCAACATTTCTCCCATGGAAATAGGGACGTCCTAAAAGAAAACGGGGCATTCCGGGATCAAATCAGAAACCAGGACGACTTCTGTAAATCCAGAATCGTCCCCATCCCCCCGCTCCCAAGCTTTCCCATAAAGCTATGGTTTTCCCAGTAGTGATGTATGGAAGTGAGAGCTGGACCATCAAGAAGGCTGATCGCCGAAGAATTGATGCTTTTGAATTATGGTGCTGGAGGAGACTCTTGAGAGTCCCATGGACTGCAAGAAGATCAAACCTATCCATTCTGAAGGAAATCACTGGAAGGACAGATCCTGAAGCTGAGGCACCAATACTTTGGCCACCTCATGAGAAGAGAAGACTCCCTGGAAAAGACCCTGATGTTGGGAAAGATGGAGGGCACAAGGAGAAGGGGACGACAGAGGACGAGATGGTTGGATAGTGTTCTCGAAGCTACCAGCATGAGTTTGACCAAACTGCGGGAGGCAGTGAAAGACAGGAGTGCCTGGCGTGCTCTGGTCCATGGGGTCACGAAGAGTCGGACACAACTAAATGACTAAACAACAACAAGAAGCTTTCCCCTTAAAAATTCACGCTTTAAAACTCCTTTGGAGCAAATGTCAACACACGTAAAACCCGAATTGACGTTTGCTCCAATTCAGCTTTAAAGAGCAGCTTTCGTAGGGGGAAGCTTGGGACAAAACAACAACAACAATGCTTGGACAGGGAGTGTTAAGGTGCAGACTTCTGTCTGGAAAGAGTGGGGGCAAAAGTTAAGTGCGGATAATCCCTTTATGCATGCGGTTAATATACAAGTTTACTTAACCCAAAGGTTAGATTTTATTATTTAAAACACACAGGTGAGAGACAGTTGTCATCGAAGGAATAAAAAAGCAGCAGATTATCAAACTGAGTGTGCACCCTAGATGACATTATAGGCAAGTACGGTAGTTGTTAGTTCAGAGAATCATAGAGTTGGAAGGGACCCTGAGGTCTCCTCTAGTCCAAGGAACGTCCAACTCCCAAGAGACTGCAATCTACTCCTGGAGGAGAAAACCGAAAACTGGCAGTGTTTGGGGGGGGGCAGACCAAAGTTGGTTTTAGGGGAGCAGGTCTTTATCATCATCATCAACCTTTAGGGATCATTGGTTCTTGCAACCACCGATAAAAACTTTGCCACTGCTAATGTTCTAGCATTTATCCAGTCTTCCAATAGGAACCTGACATAGTGAGCCTCTGATTTTCCCGGGAAAGGTACCAGCAAGGGTAGTATCAGTTCAGCCCTGGCTTGCTCATATTTTGCACAGTGCAACAAAATATGTTTTACGGAATCAATGTCTTGAGCACATGAGCAAAGTCTGTCCTGGTAGGGAACTCCTCTCAACCTGCCATCCAACACTGCAGAAGGAAAGAAGTTTAGTCTGGCTTTGGTGAAAAGCCTTCGATAGTTTGGTACTGTCAGGTTTTTAATGTAAGATGTTAACTTAAAGACATGCCCATATTGTACTCCTACTGCCAGCAGACTTCAGACTGTGTGTGATCGAGATCGCAAGTCACTATGTGCATTATCCCATAATCTTTGCTTTAACGTCTTTAGGGCGCCTTCATAACCCAGGTAATACAGTTGGTGGGGGGAGTCTTTATAGGTTAAGCTCAAACTCCTGAAGTAGAAATCAAATCAAAGGCCCTCTCCTTGGTTGGAAGTGCAGTGTGAAAATCATTTTACTACCTGCCAAGTGAGGACAACATACAACAGCCTAAGTTGTATCCTTGCAAGAAAAACTTGTATAAAAACTAGCCGCAGGGCACAACATTACCCAGGAAGACAGACTGGCACGCTATTCTACATAAGGACCTCCCATAATACCTTACCTTAATACGGGTTATGGTTTAAACCAAAAGAAAGGATGAAACAACTCATTCTAAAACTGAGCAGTTCCCCTGAGGAATATATAACACTTATAACATAGCCTTCGCTTGTTCTAGCATGCTGAGACACATGTGTGGTAAGAGAAGACTAGAGGAAGCCTGAGAGACACATCCACAAACCGAACTGGGGATCATATTTAGCTCTGATAACTAAATGCAGTGTATTCCTGACTTTTATGGGACACCATCGCACAGCCAACTTTCACAAATCCAAACTATATGAGGTTCCTAGCGCCGTGCTAAAAGCTTCAACTTCTCAAAGGTTTTCTTCCCTTGCAAATGAGCCTTCCATTTTTTTCCGCCTCATTCTCGGGGGCACTCAAGAATATCCTCGATCATTTTCTCGTGCGTTTTCTTTCTTGCGAATTCACGAACGACGATCAGAAATCATGTGGGATCCATTTTAAGCCACAGCACTAGTAGATATCACCATAGAAGATTGCTGAGAAACAGGGGAGGCAGGAAGGATTTTAGAGAGCATGTAATATGAAATCCTACAGTCAATCTCTGGTTACAGGAGCTCAGGTAGCAGTTAGGTTTCAAAGGACAAAATCACGATAGCAAACCAGTGATATTTTAGGGAGCAGGTTAGCAGGTGGGGCCCATGACTTACATCACAGGAGACTAGGTAAAGGTAAAGGGTAAAGGGACCGCTGACCATTAGGTCCAGTCGTGGCAGACTCTGGGGTTGCGGCGCTCATCTCGCTTTATTGGCCAAGGGAGCCAGCGTACAGCTTCTGGGTCATGTGGCCAGCATGACTAAGCCACTTCTGGCGAACCAGAGCAGCACACAGAACTGCCATTTACCTTCCTGCCGGAGTGGTACCTATTTATCTACTTGCACTTTGACGTGCTTTTGAACTGCTAGGTTGGCAGGAGCAGGGACCAAGCAATGGGAGCTCACCCCGTTGCGGGGATTCGAACCGCTGACCTTCTTATCAGCAAGTCCTAGGCTCTGTGGTTTAACCCACAGCGCCACCAGCATCCCGCCTACACAACACCAAACACTGTTGCTGTATGTAGGTTTATTTATTTTATTTGTTGTTTATCTTATAATTTGGAAATGTACATCCAGGTTTTTTCCCTTTACATTTTTGGGGGGCCCCAAGAGAGTGGGGCCCCTAAACTATAGCTTGTTTAGCTTATACGTAAATCTGGGTCATCTAGTCCAACCCCAATTTTTTTGCCTAAGGTAGGACTCGAACCCACGACCCTTAGGTTAAGAGTCTCTCCCTCGAGGGCCGCCGGGAGATTCGCGTGCAAACCCCGTTTCCCCTTTTAAAACTCAAAAGCTGAGATGACGCCCCTCATTTGAGAACTTCAACCCGCTTCAGGTGATGGGGAGTGAAATGGCGCCAAGCGTACCCGGAAGTCCGTTCCGAAAATAAAGGCGCTCCCTCTACCCAAATAACCATTATGTCGTCTGCGGACGAAACCTCACCCAATCCGTGGCCAGGGAAGAGACCACATGACGCACGCACGCGCACACACTCACCTCTTTCCCGAACCGCCCGACGCGATTGCTCCTGACGCATGCGCAGCGAGCGGCGGAAGCGGTGCATAAGGAGAGGGCGTCTGGCGGAAACCGGAAGTAACCTGTGGTGTGTTTTTTTTCCAAGCGGCGGAAGTGGGGGAGGGGAGGGGGGTTTGGAATGGCTGCCGCCGCCGCCGCCGCCGCCGCCTGTCCCGCCTGAGGAGGCCTCGGAGGCCAGGCGACAAGGCCCCAAGCGTAAGATGGAGTGGGTGGGGACTCTGGTCACGTGGTTCCAAGGAGGAGGGGCTTTCCCAACTGTCACCCCAGCAAGGGGTGTGTGAGGGGACTCCATGTACCGAGACGGACCCATTGGGCCCACCTACCTCAGTACTGCCTACACGGGCTGGCAGCAGCGGTGCTGATAACGCCCAGGTCGCGGGTTCAGTCCTGTGCCCTATTAAAATGTGTTTTTTTTGGGGGGTATTGGGTTGTTTTATTTATATTATTATTGATTTTATTCTGTCAACTGCCTTGAGACCCCCTGTTAGGCGGTATATAAATTCAATTAATAATAATAATAATCTCCGCAAATTCCTGCATGGCAAGGAGTTGGACTAGATGATCCTTAGGGTCCCTTCCAATGGCACAACACACACACACACACACATATATATACACACACGGGGGGGGGAATCTCTCCCAGCCTTGCCTGGATCATGCAATATGTTTTTTAAAAATGCATTTATATCCCACCTTTTCTCCCCTCCACAGGACACAAAGTGGTGTTTGTTGTTCTCTTGACACTTCATTTAACCCCCCCCCCCAACAACAACAACAACCCTGTGAGGGGTAGGCCTGGGCAGTGTATTGATACATCGCCCAGGACCGGTTTGAGGGCGTGATGGCGCCTTCCCCCAGCGTTATATCCTGTGCACCTTTCAGGCTGTTGCCCAGATGGAGGCTGCAAACTAAACAAGTCTGCTTGATGTTGTTGGAATTGTGCTACATGTCAAGGATTTTGCGTCAGCGGATACAGCTGGTAAGCGGCTAACCTTGTTTCCCTGTTTTCTTTTATATATAAAAAATCTGAACAGAGGATCCTGCTGTTGAAACAGCAGAAGAAGCAACAGAACCAGCCGAAGCAGATATCAATGAACTTTGCAAGGATATGTTCAACAAAATGGCCATTTACCTAACAGGTGAACTGACAGGTAAGTTTATATTAAATATAACACATTGCAATATCATTGGGGAGTTTCCATGCCAGAGAGGCCTGCTGACTCCTGTGGGGCTGGCTTCCAAGTGAGAACGCCCAGAGCATGGGTAGGCAAACTAAGGCCCGGGGCCAGATCGCCTTCTAAATCCTGCCCGCAGATGGTCTGGGAATCAGCATGTTTTTACACGAGTAGAATGTGTCCTTTTATTTAAAATGCACCTCTGGGTTATTTGTGGGGCCTGCCTGGTGTTTTTACATGAGCAGAATGTGTGCTTTTATTTAAAATGCATCTCTGGGTTATTTGTGGGGCATAGGAATTCGTTCATTCCTCCCCCAAAAAAATATAGTCCGGTCCCCCACAAGGTCTGAAGGACTGTGGACCAGCCCCCTGCTGAAAAAGTTTGCTGACCCCTGCTCCAGAGTCTTGTGTCTTCTACCTCCCCCAAGTAGAATTAGCATTTCATAAGAAAATTCTCAAACCAGCCACATATATCAGCTCAGCTCTAAGATTCCCATGTTTTCCAGGAATGTCACTATATCACACAAAGGAGTAGAGTTGATCCATATAGCATGGCTTTGCTAGGAAACTCCCAGAAAGTTGCTGTTCTGCTTGTGCAACAGACTTCTGCTTGCACAATGGAACTTTCCCCTCCTCTCCCCTAAGGCCCCTCACACCCTCAAAATACGTTCCAGAGGTTGAGAGTCCTTTCCTTGAGCAGATTGGGGATGTGCAGAGAGAGGAGCAAAAGGTGAAGTCCCATTGCATGAGCAGAATACTAGTTGCACAGTGCTGGATGCAACACACTTAATTTTCTTCTGGCTCCCCATGAGTCATGAATGCATGTCTGGGGGATTGTAGTTCCTTAATCATAAATATGCTGAAATATGCATGGGTGTCCCACATCCGTATAGAGTTCTTTTGCTCATACCTTTGCTTGCGTGGTGAAACAAGATAGGCAGCCATGGTTTACCAGGCATCTGGTTACATTTCAGCTGAGAACCTTTACTTAATGGCTTCCAAACAAGCAAGCCAGAAAATAAAACCAATTGGTTTCTCGATTTTGTCTTGTTTGGAAGCCATTCATTATAAGCGGAAGTTGTAATTAACTGGCTTCCTGACTTGTTCTCTCAATTGCACAAAGGGAGGGATGAAGCAGAAGCAAAGGGAGTATAAAGCTTGTTATCATCGTGGTTTATTAAGCTGAAATTGGATTGAGCATGGTCGTAGAGTAGGAATCCAGCTCCCTGCTGATGCTACTCTTGCGCTGGACAGTTCCCTGATAGAGGCAGAGGTTAGATAACCACCAGACAAAGGAGCCTTCACCTTCTTTTGAGGCAGTCTGTTAACAGCTGGTGCCACCAAAAAGCTCTTCTTGGTGTTTAATCTAAACTCCCCCCCCCCTTCTTGTAACTTGAATCACTGGTTTAGGTCCTACTTTTGACCTTTAAAGCCCTTCACGGCCTAGGACCCTCGTACCTATGGGACCGCCTCTCCCGGTATGCCCCACGGAGAGCCTCAAGGTCCATAAATAGCAATACCCTAGTGGTCCCGGGCCCTAAGGAAGTTAGATTAGCTTCAACCAGAGCCAGGGTCTTTTCAACACTGGCTCCGGCCTGGTGGAACGCTCTGCCTCATGAGACCAGGGACCTGCAGGATCTGATTTCTTTCCGCAGGGCCTGTAAGACAGAGTTGTTCCGCCTGGCCTTTGGCTTGGAGCCAATTTGATTCCCTCCCTCTCTTTCTTTTTTCCTTTCCTTCTCCTGCGATGAGGCTATATTTTAATGTTTCAATATTTTAATGTTGTATTTTAATTTTGTTTTTAAGTTGTAATCATTCAACTTGTTTTTATTATTGCTTGTAAGCCGCTCTGAGCCCGACCTTGGCTGGGGAGGGCGGGGTATAAATAAAAATTATTGTTATTGTGTTATTATTATTATTATTATTATTATTATTATTATTATTATTACTGTCCCAAGCAACAGACAACTAATTTGCTCAATCAAATTTGATCTGACGTTTAAATTCCATGTTTAAAATAGTAAGAGGAGTGGTCAACTTGAGAGAGGGGTGAGCCTATTGTGCTATTCCATTGAATTTTAACTGATGTTAAAATGGCATCTTGTAAATAATTTATATTTTTAAAGCTGTCTCTCTCTCTCCCCCCCCCCACTCCTTTCTCTTTTTCTCTTTAAAGCCACTAGTGAAGATTACAAACTCCTGGAAAACATGAACAAACTGACTAGTTTGAAGTACCTGGAAATGAAAGATATTGCAATAAACATAAGTCGAAACCTGAAAGATTTGAATCAGAAGTGTAAGTAGAGAGATACTTTCATTTGTGTCTTGTAACATGTTTGGATTATAGGTTGGATCTATGTCCAATCACAGGGCGTGGTATAAAAATACAATAAATAATAATAATTCAGATCAGACCGTGCGCCACCAGAGAACTTTTGCAGAGGAGAAACTTGCAGCAATTAATTAGTGAAATGTTTGCACAGGCAGTCCTCTCTGAATGCAAAATGTGCAGTGTGAAGTTGCTAAGTATTGTCCTGAATGGGTGGGCACGATGGATGTTGGAGTCATATTGGGGTGGGAAGCAGGTAAGAATTTATTTAAAAGTCTTTCGGCAGAAGCAAAAGTTAAGAGTGGGCTTAGGTGTTAGTGGCATGTAAGGGTTATGGGGGAGGGGACTGTACTTGGCAATAACATCCCAATAATCCCAATGTTATTAGGATGGTTGGCGAGTCTAGGAAGCTGGAGCAATATCAGAAAGGGTCTGTTGAGAAGAGGAGGTATTTGGGGATTAAACTTCCTTCCTTGAACTTGTGCTTTCCAAAAAAATATATTCTTTTTTTCTTTTAAACCCAACATGTTTTGGTTAGATTTTTGTTGCCTTGTGTGATGTACTTGTAATGTATGATATGCTTTTAATTTGAAATACAGTGGTACCTCGGGTTAAGTACCGTATTTTTCGCCCTATAGGACGCACTTTTCCCCCTCCAAAAATGAAGGGGAAATGTGTGTCCGTCCTATGGGGTGAATGCAGGCTTTCGCTGAAGCCTGGAGAGCAAGAGGCGTCGGTGCACACCGACCCCTCTTGCTCTCCAGGCTTCAGGAAGCTATCCGCAAGCCTTGCGAGCCCGGCGGGAGTGCCCGCCGGGCTCACAAGGCTTGCAGGCAGCAGCCCGAAGCACGGAGCGCGCCTTGGGCTTCGCGCAGATGCGAGCAGCAGCCTGCAGCCCGAAGCAGGATAGCAGCCTTGCGAATAGCAGCCTGTTCTCGGGCTTCCCCCCCCCCAGCCCCGCGGCTGGGGGGGGGTGTTTTATTCCCCCCCCAAAAAAAACACGAGGTGCGCCCTATGGGCCAGTGCGCCCTATAGGGTGAAAAATACGGTACTTAATTCGTTCCGGAGGTCCGTTCTTAACCTGAAACTTAACCTGAAGCACCACTTTAGCTAATGGGGCCTCCTGCTGCTGCCGTGCCGCCAGAGCACAATTTCTGTTCTCATCCTGAAGCAAAGTTCTTACCCCGAGGTACTATTTCTGGGTTAGCAGAGTCTGTAACCTGAAGCGTATATAACCTGAAGCATATGTAACCCGAGGTACCACTGTATACTAGATGGCAGTGGCTTGCAAGGGCAATGTGGGGGGCGTCCTTGGCTTTGGGAAGGAGGTGGCTGGCCCTGTTGCCTCCTTCCCAAAGCTTGCCTGCCTGGCTTTGGGAAGGTGGCAGAAGGGCTCTTGGACCCGTCAGAGCATCCTCCCTCCCTAAGCCAGCCAGCTCCTTCCCAAAGCCTGGCAGACTTTGGCTAGTTTATGGTGGTTTAAGTAGGGCATTTTAAAGTGTTCTCTACTTCAGACTCTTACAGTGGCACTTAAAATCTAAACAAATTTTGTAGTGGGATCATTGATTGACAGGTTGTGTAGACCTGTATTATGTGTTAGTTTTGCTGTAAAATTTTATGTAATATGAAGGAAAGGGGGTACAGGGAAAATTGTCTGCGGAGTGGAAGGAAAGGAGGACCTTTCTCTGCCTTCCCACTTCCAGCCACTCTCTGAAGACTGGAGAATTGGCCCACAGAAGAATATTAGGAGGGCGGGCAGGGGAAGTGTGGCTTAATTTTTTTCAGTCTTCAGATGAGGATGAGACCATATGAAAAATGAACATAAGATTTTAGCTGCAGTTCATTCATTTTCAGCTTTGTAATCTTGTTATAAAGAGTCCAAATTGTTGTAATGAATGCACTTTTTGCCAATGAGCATTGCATTCAGCGCCAGCGAATCCTTTTTTCTTTTGTTTCAAGGTTTTGAAAATTGAGGTGCGCATTAGATTTGATGGCGCATTAGACTCGAGTAAATACAGCATTGGAAAGGATTTTGGATGACCATACTGGGGAGGCCTGGAGAGCCTTTTCCCGTCAGAGTAGACAATACTCAGCTACCTGGGCTCAGCTGCGTAATCGTTCCATTCTTATTTTTATTTTGCAGTTTGACAGTTTTGAAAATATACAAATCTAGTGACCGAAGAGGTGACACAAGTGGTACGCCTTCTGTGAGTCAGCAACTAATCCTTATTGTTTTCTCCCTGCCCTCACCTCTCACTTCCTCCAAGATGCCGGACTTCAGCCGTATCTGGAGCAAATCAATCTGATTGAAGAGCAGGTGGCAGCACTGGAACAGGCCGCATACAAGCTAGATGCATATTCAAAGAAACTTGGTAAGTACTTGTGACATTGCTAGAAAGTATACAGAAACGGTGCCTATCTTACCCCTTTTCCACAAGGAGGGGGGTTGCATCCCCTCCATGAACCTTGACAAGTTTTTTTTACCCTTTTGGAACGTGATATACCGTATTTTTCACCCTATAGGACGCACCCGAGCAAAGGACGTACCTAGTTTTTAGAGGAGGAAGACAAGTAAAAAATATTCTGAATCAAATCAGTGTCGGGGCTGAAGGGGGAAGCCCAGGGTTTCCCCATAAAGCCCCGGCACCCCCAAGCTAGAACAGCGAGACGCTGCACAGCGCTTCGTCTCTCTGTTCTGGCTTCGGGGACAGCCTTTCAAGCCTCCACAGGGCAGCGGGGTGCCTTCACCCCGCTGCCCTGTGGAGGCTTTGCGCAGCTAACCCCGAAGCCTTTGGAGCGCAGCGCAAAGTCCCGCTGCGCTCCAAAGGCTTCAGGCGGCTATCCCTGAAGCCTAAAGAGTGAGAGGGGTCAGTGTGCACCGACCCCTCTCGCTCTCCAGGCTTCAGTGAAAGCAACGCATAGCCTCCAGAGCGCGGAGGAAGCCAAGGAGCCTGCATTCGTTCCATAGGACGCACAAATATTTCCCCTTCATTTTTGGAGGGGAAAAGGTGCGTCCTATAGAGCGAAAAAGGCGGTATCTGTGGAGGTTGCTGTTGTGCACTAATGGATTTCCAGAGCGTCCCACTCAGGTTTCTTAAATAATACAGGGCATGACTGACACTACAAAGTGGTAAAATGTACCCTGAATCATATTATCGCAATAGCCAGAATACTCCATCTGTGGAGAACTTTTTGAAATTGAATGAGGTGAGTGGACCCTGGGCAAATGTGCTAGCCACTGAAAACAGCTTCTGGATGTTCAGTCTCTGTCGAAGTGTCACTACATGAGGCTGTGACATAGGTCCTGGGTTCATAACTGAAAGGGAGTTTGCTCTCCCTAATGGCTGTGTGTTTGTCTTCCGCAGAAGCAAAGTACAAAAAGCTGGAGAAACGGTGAAAGAAGTGCGTTGCGTGACAGGACTTTTCTTCGAGAATACATGACTTCTTCCTCTGAAGAAAACTGGACTTTACAAAACTTGTACTACAAAACTACCATTGGAGAGAGTCATGTGGGCACTCTAAGGAACAGTGGTGCCCCCCTTTGTTTGAGGCTGAGACATCTTCCCCTTCTTGTAGAATCTGTTGCTCTTTACTATTTTTGTCCCTCGTTTTACAGAAGACTATCATTAAAGCTGCTGTTAATGGCTTCAGCCAGGGCCCTGCAGTAGCTTAACTGGGCAGTTCTGTACCTCCTTCCCTATTGAGCAAGTCCCTTCTGTGCTCTGAAAATTGCTTCATTTGTGAACGTGGAAGTTTCCAATATGCCGTGTTGGCAGGTGACGTGGTGTGGCCTTGCAGCAAAGCATCTTCTCTTGCCGTGCTTTTTTGAGAAATAAACACCTGGAAATTAAGGCGGCCCTTTTCTTACTCTTTCTCGGGGGGGACAGAATTATCTTCCGCTTCATCCAGTGTGGCATGAGGGCTGACTCTCAGAACTACGCATGGGGCTCCTCCAGACTGCTGTTTCTTTGGAGCCTGGTTAGATACAGTTTGCATGGAGAGAACTGGCTGTAGCTTGAGTCTGCCTGACTCAGCAATTTTTCGACATGGACAACTGGGACAGGAGTAGGTTGCAATCCGTAGCTTCCGCATGTGGGTACCAGCTTGATACAGAAGTGGAGAATATGTTACGAAGAACTGGATGGGAAGATGGGGCAATGGGTCAGTAGGGGGTCATGTGATCAGGAGAGGAGAGAGCGATGACGTGAATTAATTTAACACTATGCTTTCATTGTGCCAAGGCTATATATGTCTAGAATTTTGTGTTTGAAATCTACATTGGTACACTCAACATAATTCTGAGTTTAGAAGAACTCTAGATTTTGTCATGCATCAAGACTAGTATCCTAGCATGATTTCTCAGGTCTGGATACCATCTAGTAATATGAGCCCCTCTCCTCGTTCACAGTCCCACGCTTGCTTTGGAAAATTGGTGTAGTTTTTTTCTAATCATGTCTCGTAGCTTGCTCTGTGGTTGCCACAGCTATGTTTATTGGCAGAAGTGGCACTGTGGCATCAATGAATGCTGATTATATAGGAATGCACTGGCAAATACCTTCCCTGGAATCTCAATTGCCAGTTCTTCTACAAAGGCTGGAGTCTAGAAGTCTAACTCAAGGTCTTCCCCTATATCAGGGATGTCCAACAGGTCGATCGCGATCTGCTGGTAGATCCCCACGAGGTTTTGGTAGATCGCAGTCGATCTCCAGCTCCCTTTCCTTAGCGTCACTAAAACTGACTCCTACCATGCCCCCCGGCCCGCCCTCTATTGTTGGATGAGTCTCAATTATGGCACTTGTCTCCTGAGAATATGCCAAGCCTGTGCAACAAATATTTTGGGGAGAGACATGGTTGATAACTATCTAGTTTGAGAGGGCCTCTTACTATGAAGAGGCAGCTATACATAACTTACATAACTACTCATAAGTAGCCTCATTACCTTAACGAGGGCTGTGAGGGTTTTTCAGCTGGTCTACAGATTTCCAGTGGTTAAAGATTTCTATCTGCAACATGCAGCTAAAAGATTTTGAGACCCTCCTGCTAAGCTGCATTAACAATCTCAACACTTTGGGAGTGGACGGCTCTTAAGAACAGTTTGGGGGGAGGATTTGCTGCCTCGACTAGTTTCCGACCCAGTTGTTGTTGTTTAGTTGTGTCCGACTCTTCGTGACCCCATGGATCAGAGCACGCCAGGCACTCCTGTCTTCCACTGCTTCCCCGCAGTTTGGTCAAACTCATGCTGGTAGCTTCAAGAACACTGTCCAACCATCTCCTCCTCTTCGTCCCCTTCTCCTTGTGCCCTCCATCTTTCCCAACATCAGGGTCTTTTCCAGGGAGTCTTCTCTTCTCATGAGGTGGCCAAAGTATTGGAGCCTCAGCTTCACAATCTGTCCTTCCAGTGAGCACTCGGGGCTGATTTCCTTAAGAATTGAGAGGTTTGATCTTCTTGCAGTCCATGGGACTCTCAAGAGTCTCCTCCAGCACCATAATTCAAAGGCATCAATTCTTCGGCGATCAGCCTTCTTTATGGTCCAGCTCTCACTTCCATACATCACTACTTGGAAAACCATAGCTTTAACTATACAGACTTTTGTCCGACCCAGTTAGCATAAAGCAATTTCCTGTTTTCCTAATGATTGGTCCACCTGGCTCTGCAATGCTGACGTTCCATGGCACCAGCTTTCCATTGTTTCAGACAGGATTCACCCACCCACTCACAAGGTACCAGGAACTGAATGCAAATGAAAGGTTCTCCCTACTTCATGCCAGTCTGCCTCAGGGTAGCATCCGACTTCTCCATTTTTTATATTAATTTTGCTCAACAACAACGTAACAATTTGGTATAATGTGAAAATTCTGGTGATAACAATAATTTCCCATAGTAAGTGAAATAACGCACAAGGATCTTTAATTTTTAAACAACTCTTTATATAAAAAGCCAAAACTTGATATTTCCAGTATTACAGTCATTGTTCCACAAGATACAAAAATGTTAAATGGAGGAACACTCCCAGAAATGTTATTTTTTTAAAAAAACAAGTCCTAATTTTTAAATGGTGACTCAAATGTACACTGGTGAATTTCAGCTTAGCCCCTTAGCAATACTGAATAGTGATGTGATCCAGACTGAGTTTTCCTTTGAAGTGTACTTCCAATTGTCCCCCAATTCTTAGAGACATTTTCTTATACCCACCTAGGGTTGTCTGCGTGGCTTTCTGATATAGGAGCCCCACAGAATTTCAGCTTTGTGAGTTATTTATATCGACAACCTATCGATGCTATGGGTGGTAATATTCGTCACTAGCTAGGACCACTTGTAGAAATAATTCAATTTGCCCTGCTCTGTGGTAACCAGTTACTACCAGGTAACATTCATGGATCACAGAGATTGCTGACCAAGTGCCTGTGATTCGGACGTTCCTCGCAATCAGGATGTCATGTTTTATTTGTGCACCGATTTTCAACTTTCTGCACAATATCTTAACAGCCATTTCCCTAATTCAAATACCTGCCTTTTTATCCCTTGGAGGTTAATCTCAACTTTTTCCAGGGAGTGAAGATTCAGTTAGAAGAAATGGTGCAAATGGAAAATAGTAATCCTCCTTCTCTGAGCACCATTCCGAACTGCTGTGGCTCCTTTAAAGCAGAGTAAAAGATGTTGGAATCTTAGTGTGAATGTGCAGTCTGCATATGTGAGAGAGCACGTCTTGTGTCTCCCAAGGAATGGCGAACCTCGAATGCAGAACTTGGGTCAAGAAAGGTTAGCTGCCCCCTGATATACAGTGGTGCCTCGCAAGACGAAATTAATTCGTTCTGCGAGTTTTGTCGTCTTGCGATTTTTTTTCGTCTTGCGAAGCACAGTGTCGGGAAAGTTTTGGAAAAGCTTCAAAAATCACCAAAGTCTTTAAAAACCTCAAAAAAGGCTACCACACCGCGTTCTATGAGTTGCTCCTCGAAGTCAAGTCGCAACTGTATTAACGGTGTTAAGAAAAAGGAAACAAACTTGCAAGACGTTTCCATCTTGCGAAGCAAGCCCATAGGGAAAATCGTCTTGCGAAGCAGCTCAAAAAACAAAAAAACCCTTTCGTCTAGCGAGTTTTTTGTCTTGCGAGGCATTCGTCTTGCAAGGTACCACTGTATAGTTTGGCCAACTGCACGTTATATAGTCTAGCTTAGCAATTTCTCTGCAGGCTTTTCTGTACATGTAGTCAACGTCAATCTTTTACAGGGAAATCTTTCCCTGATTTTTTTGGTGAAGCACCTTGTATTACAGGGTGTGGAATACAGGCTAGGCACCTTTTCACTCCTCAAGTCGCATCTAGTTTGATCCTCAAAATTAAACATACTATATATCATTCTTTAAATATATTTATGAAAACGTATAATCTTCCGTACAATATAAAAAGAAGAGGAGGCTGGCTTGTTTTATAAAAAAAAAAATTGTGCATATAAAAGCTAAGGACTGTTTTACCATCTGAGGACATTTTTACAAGTCAAATGGTGATGCCCAACATGCAATCTTAATCGTTCCAGGTTGTGCTACCACTGCTGAAACCCCCCGTCCCATCCTGGCCACTGGTGAAATGGGATTCTCTGTTTGCTGTGAGCCTCTGCGCTGTTGAGCTCTTGCATGTAAATGGTTTCATGGACTCTCAATGGGCACCACCTAGGTACTGCTTTTCATTTCGCCCTGTTGTCAAATACCCATGCAGGTTTTGGCCTTTAAAGGGGGGGGGGGACCTTCCCAGAACACTTCTCCGTTCTCCTGCATAACCACTAACTTCTCATTTAAGTTGGTTTGTCTTTTAGCGGCGATATCGGGCAAAGCCACATTTTCTCCTGTAACAATGCCCACCGTTTCACGACATTCTCTTGCCACTTTCTCTCCTCTCTTAATCACAGCCAAAAAAAACCGAGCACAGTTTTGCTTAAAGGAATAAACCGGCCCCTGTTTCCTTGCGAAATTCCTTTCCCCGCCATTACTTTTAAACGACTCTTACGCTGTTGCTGCGTGATCTGGCCAATGCGAAATTAGAACAAAGATGGAACCCACTTTCCTTGCTCCTAAAAAACGAACGAGTCTGAAGAAGTTAACGCCAGAGAACTGGCAGCCATTGGCTGCTTAGAACAAAGGATATGCCAAGTCCAGGTATTAAGAGTACGTATGTAGGATGAAATTGGCTCTGTTCCACAGCGCGTAGTACATTTGTTTTCTTTGTTTGATTTTGTTACAACAGTATTGCAGGCTACCCCTCTGGAATTCCCTAGAAAGTAACTGAATACAGTTACTGCGGCCAACTGTATCTGGATACGTAAGTTTAAATTACACAGGAACCAACTTGCTTCTCAGAAAGAATCCGTTTACCCAGTCATTCTGGAGGGTTATAAACCAAGCAATTTCTGACAAGTCTCAGCATCGCAACCTTCGGAGCTCAAACGCTTTTCTTTCTGAAACAAAGACGCAGTAAGCAAAAGTAAATGTAATTGGTCGGTAGAATCAAGTGTTCTCACCTCCAGCATTTTTACCAAATCGCAGAAGGCAATGCTATGCCAGAATAACCAACCATGCTACTTATTATCTGACAAACAACTACAAAATAACTTGTCTTTAAAGTTGGAGGCCTGCGGCAGAGGTAATAACCTTTTGAGAAGCAATTGCTTCCTTCCTTTTTCCTCAGTGCTCTCTCCCTCCTTCACCCGATCATTTAGATTGGTTTCCCTAACTTCTCCAACACCTTGTTCCGTACATCTGAACAAGGAATCCTTGAAAGATCAGGTCTTGCACTTGAACTTCGACAGCAGGGTCTGCTAGCGCCAGCTCCCTTCCTTCATTTTGGACGTTGAAAATGAC